TGTCTAGGGCAATTGGTGTAAATTGCTGGCTAGACAGATACTGCAAGGAACTTGCAATCCCATTCATTGACAATGGAACAACTTTTATGGCAAACATGATATGTATGCAAGGGATGGGGTTCATCTCTCTGGGGCAGGGGTGGTAGCACTTGCAGACTCGATTGAGAAGGCCATTGGTTGAAATGCCTATGATTTTAAACTGATGGAAGATAGAGGTATGGGTGTGTGTGGGAAACAAGCAGGTTGCAACACTAGGGTTGGAAACAGTAAATGTATAAAAGGCATTCAGCATGAAGTTATAAATAAAGACAATAGAACAGGTCAGAAAACAAAGGGGGACAGCAGAGGGCAGCAAGGGACTAGCTCCCTTAAGGTTTACTATACTAATAGCAGGAGTGTTAGAAATTAAGATAGATGAGCTAAGATTAATTGCAAGTGCAGGAAACGTAGATATTATTGCTATAACAGAGACCTGGCTCAATCTGAAAGATAGAGAGATGCCATCTGAATGTCACATACAAGGCTATAAATTATTCCACACTGACAGGGTCAACAGGAAAGGTGGTGGAGTAGCGATGTATGTCAGAGACAATTTAAATTGTTGTGTTAGACAAGATATTAAATTAGAAGCGTCAGCCACTGAATCTGTTTGGTTACAGCTTCTCGAGGGCCGAGAAAAAACTAATTTTGGGTGTGATTTACAGGGCCCCAAATCTTGATAGGGAGTGCAGTAAACTTCTATGGGACGAAATTCGTAAGGCATCTACATACGAAAATGTTGTGCTAATGGGAGACTTCAACTATAGACAGATTGACTGGAGCAATTTGACAGGAAATTTAGAGTCGGGTGACTTTCTTGATACGATCCAGGATTGTTTTTTAAAACAGTTTGTGACAGAGCCAACTAGGGGAAATAACCTCCTTGACTTGGTTCTTGCCAGTAGGGAAACACTAATTAATAATCTTGAGGTTAATGATGAGCTTGGGGAGAGTGATCACAAATCACTCAGTTTTAACATATCATGGAATTCCCCTAATAATGGCAATCAGTCTCCGTCCCTGACTTTCGCTTGGCTGATTTCATAGGACTGAAAAATTACTTAGGTGGGCTGAGCTGGAATGACCTGACTAGGGGTCAGGTAGGTGGTGATGGTTGCCGATATGATGCTTTCCAGGGCATAGTTCTAGTGCTCAGTCAAATTATGTTCCAAATAGGGAAATCAGATCAAACAAAAATGATCCTAAATGGATGAACAATAGATTAAAATATCTGATTGGTCAAAAGAGAGGCATATATAGGCAAATCAAAAGAGGAGAGGGGCAATTAAGAAATCGATATATTCAGTTAAAGAGAGAAATAAAAAAGGGAATTAGAAAAGCAAAAAGGATTATGAGGTTAAAGTTGCAAGAGAATCGAAGACTAACCCAAAAGGATTCTTTCAGGTATACAGAAGTAAGATCAGGGACAAGATAGGCCCACTCAAAAGTTCCTCGGGTCAGCTCACTGACAGTGATAAGGAAATGTGTAGAATTTTTAACACATACTTCCTCTCAGTTTTTACACAGGAGGATACCAGTGATATTCCAGTAATGATAAATTATGTAGAACAGGACGATAATAAACTGTGCACTATTAGGGTCACAAGTGACATGGTCCTTAGGCAAATAGATAAATTAAAACCTAACAAATCCCCAGGCCCTGTTGAACTGTATGCAAGGGTTCTAAAGGAATGTAAAGAGGAGCTTAGCACACCTTTGGCTAATCTTTTCAACATATCACTACCAAACTGGCATGGTGCCAGATAAGTGGAAAATGGCAAATGTGATACCTATTTTCAAAACAGGTGACAGGTCCTTAGCTTCGAACTATAGACCAATAAGCCTAACCTCCATAGTGGGAAAATTTATGGAATCAATAATTGCCGAGGCAGTTCGTAGCCACCTTGAAAAGCATAAATTAATCAACGAATCTCAGCATGGTTTTACAAAGGGACGTTCCTGCCTTACGAATTTATTAACTTTTTTCACTAAGGTATTTGAGGAGGTAGATCATGGTAACGAATATGATATTGTGTATATGGACTTCAGTAAGGCTTTTGACAGGGTCCCACATCAGAGACTATTGAGGAAAATTAAAGCACATGGAATAGGAGGAGAAATTTTTTCCTGGATAGAGGCATGGTTGACAAATAGGCAGCAGAGAGTTTGCATAAATGGGGAGAAATCAGAGTGGGGAAGCGTCACGAGCGGTGTTCCACAGGGGTCAGTGTTGGGCCCCTGCTGTTCACAATCTACATAAACGACATAGATGAGGGCATAAAAGAGCGACATCGGCAAGTTTGCCGATGACACCAAAATAGGCCGTCGAATTCATTCTGACGAGGACATTCGAGCACTCCAGGAAGATTTGAATAGACTGATGCAGTGGTCGGAGAAGTGGCAGATGCAGTTTAATATAGACAAATGCAAAGTTCTAAATGTTGGACAGGACAATAACCATGCCACATATAAACTAAATAATGTAGATCTTAATATTACGGATTGCGAAAAAGATTTAGGAGTTCTGGTTAGCAGTAATCTGAAACCAAGACAACAGTGCATAAGTGTTCGCAATAAAGCTAATAGAATCCTTGGCTTCATATCAAGAAGCATAAATAATAGGAGTCCTCAGGTTGTTCTTCAACTCTATACATCCTTGGTTAGGCCTCATTTAGATTATGCTGCACAGTTTTGGTCACCGTATTACAGAATGGATATAAATTCTCTGGAAAATGTACAAAGGAGGATGACAAAGATGATCCCATGTATCAGAAACCTTCCCTATGAGGATAGACTAAGGGCCCTGAAACTGCACTCTCTAGAAAGACGTAGAATTAGGGGGGATATGATTGAGGTTTATAAGTGGAAGACAGGAATAAATAAAGGGGATGTAAATAGTGTGCTGAAAATATCTAGCCTAGACAGGACTCGCAGCAATGGTTTTAAGTTGGAAAAATTCAGATTCAGGAGGGATATAGGAAAGTACTGTTTGGTAATAGAGTTGTGGATGAGTGGAACAAACTCCCAAGTACCGTTATAGAGCCAGAACGTTGTGTAGCTTTAAAAATAGGTTGGATAAATACATGAGTAGATGTGGGTGGGTGTGAGTTAGACCTGATAGCTTGTGCTAACAGGTCGGTTGCCGTGTTCCTCCCTTAAGTCAGTGTGACCTGACCTGACTAGGTTGGGTGCATTGGCTTAAGCCGGTAGGGACTTGGACCTGCCTCGCATGGGCCAGTAGGCCTTCTGCAGTGTTCCTTCGTTCTTATGTTCTTATGTTCTTAAGTTGTATGAAGGTACATGCTGGGCCTAGAATGTCTGTCTTTTTTTTTTGTCAATGTTTAATAATATAACCCCTAGACAGCAGGATGAGCAGCCTTTAGGAGACAGGACATTTTATATGAATTACCAATCACACAAACTCCTAACAATCGCCAAAACTTCAATTACATCATTTGAGTTGTTTAGTAGTTATGAGCAAATGAGCTACTTTGTGACGCACAGGCCAACCTTGTTGCCTGTTTAGTCTGGGATCTATATTTCGTTGTCAAAATGATCCTTTGTGTGGGTCTTTGTGAATGCTGCAACATTGCATTTGACTCCGTTAGCAGTCCCCTGATGTAAGGGATTTTGTTGTTTGTTGACGGCTTTAGACCCACCAAATTCCACTCCTTGAGCCTTGAAATTAAAAGCTCAGCATATAACTTTGTCAAACCAAGATCTCTGATAAGGTCATTGAGGTCTGTTTGCTTTGGGTACTAAGGATTCCTTCCATCAGCTGCATCTGTAAGATGCAGCTGATTTGCTGCTTTCTTCTTCTGACGGTTGACCTCTTTCTGGAGGTGTAGGTACAGGAAGATCAGCACTGTGTGGTACTGGTGCAACAGAAGAGGGAAGGTCTGGATAAGAAATAGCAGGTGTATTTTTCCCAGTTCGGTGTTTGGAAGGATCCACCAGGCAGAAGTAGCAGTTGGTTGAGTGATCTAGGAACACCAAACTTCATGGCTCTGTTTTCTCTTCTATACCATCTTGTAAAAGAATAAAATAATTAGTTTTTGTTACATTTGTTTTAAAAAATGTTCCTATTCAAGATTTTACCCTTCATATAACTAATGACTTTCTTACCGTCCAGTGTTTTCTTACAATGTTCACAAGTAACATGAGGTGCCCAGGTCTTGTCTTGGTCCCCAAATGACATGCCAAAATATGCTTTGTAAGCTTTAAACATATTAGATACTGTTACAGAGAACTTCTTTGCACTTGTCTTGATGAATTTACCACATATGTGGCACAATGCATCAGGAGAATGATTGCAGCCTCTTGATGCCATCTCACTTCTTCTGATGTGTCTTCTTAGGTAGCCAGAGCCGAAGTGAATGCTGGTTTGTGAGCCCCTGTTTCTATATTTGCCAATCAAAACCCTAGAACATAATAGTTTTACATCAGTCTTTCTTGAAAGGGTTCCAGGAGTGTCTTGACCACAAAAGCAAAGTTCTGCGATCAAAATAGCTTTTTTTTGTTTAGTTATAAAGAAGTGGGAAATGATGCATAATTCTCAGGAACACACAAAAGTTAAATTTTGTTACATACTGAACTATTTGTCATTCTATCATTTATTTACTCAGTATTTTTCTTAGATTTAAGTTTTCAAGAGGATGGCTACGATCAGTCATGTATGTAAAGAGAACATTTAAAACGAGGTTAGATTGATCAAGAAAAGAACAATCATATTTTTCACATGAGATAATATAACTGAAGTCATCATCATTATTACCTGGAGTTTACCTGGAGAGGGTTTAGGGGGTCATCGCCCCCGCGGCTCAGTCTGAGACCTTGAGTTATCATCCATTGTATTGAGAATCTTGTTTATTTCAATTATATTCTTTGCTCTTTCACCAATACCAGCACTCATATTACGTACACACACTGCCACCTGACCCCATGTTATTTGTTTGCGACAGGAGGCGGACATTTCATTCATGGACTACACACCGAGCGGTGACAGGTTATCCGTGATGGACTTCAGCATACCCTTCGGCGAAGACCCTATGTTGATCATCTCCAGAGCCCCGACCACAGTTGATAGGCCCTTCCTACTTATCCAGATCTTCTCCCCTTTAGTGAGTTCTAAACTATTTGCTTCAGCAAGCTTAGTTATTTGTTGGAGAATGAACACTTCTGCGAATTGTCCTGTGAACGAAACTGATCGCTTGTCTGCGCATGGTTACGTGTCTGAGCATGGTCACGTGTCTGAGCATGGTCACGTGTCTGAGCATGGTCACGTGTCTGAGATGGTTACGTGTCTGAGCATGGTTACGTGTCTCAGCATGGTCACGTGTCTGAGCATGGTCACGTGTCTGAGCATGGTCACGTGTCTGAGAATGGTTACGTGTCTGAGCATGGTTACGTGTCTCAGCATGGTCACGTGTCTGAGCATGGTCACGTGTCTGAGCATGGTCACGTGTCTGAGAATGGTTACGTGTCTGAGCATGGTTACGTGTCTGAGCATGGTCACGTGTCTGAGCATGGTCACGTGTCTGAGCATGGTCACGTGTCTGAGCATGGTCACGTGTCTGAGAATGGTCACGTGTCTGAGAATGGTTACGTGTCTGAGCATGGTTACGTGTCTGAGCATGGTCACGTGTCTGAGCATGGTCACGTGTCTGAGAATGGTTACGTGTCTGAGCATGGTTACGTGTCTGAGCATGGTCACGTGTCTGAGCATGGTCACGTGTCTGAGCATGGTTACGTGTCTGAGCATGGTTACGTGTCAGCATGGTCACGTGTCTGAGCATGGTCACGTGTCTGAGCATGGTCACGTGTCTGAGAAAGGTTACGTGTCTGAGCATGGTTACGTGTCTGAGCATGGTCACGTGTCTGAGCATGGTCACGTGTCTGAGATGTCACGTGTCTGAGCATGGTCACGTGTCTGAGCATGGTTACGTGTCTGAGCATGGCACGTGTCTGAGCATGGTCACGTGTCTGAGCATGGTCACGTGTCTGAGCATGGTCACGTGTCTGAGCATGGTCACGTGTCTGAGCATGGTCACGTGTCTGAGCATGGTTACGTGTCTGAGCATGGTTACGTGTCTGAGCATGGTCACGTGTCTGAACATGGTCACGTGTCTGAGCATGGTCACGTGTCTGAGCATGGTCACGTGTCTGAGCATGGTCACGTGTCTGAGCATGGTCACGTGTCTGAGCATAGTCACGTGTCTGAGCATGGTCACGTTCCAGAGCTTGGTTATGTCTTGAATTTGGTCACGTCTGAACTTGGTCACGTCTGAACTTGGTCACGTCTGAACTTGGTCACGTCTGAACTTGGTCACGTTTGAACTTGGTCACGTTTGAACTTGGTCACGTTTGAACTTGGTCACGTTTCAGCTTGGTCACTTGGGTGTGACTGATGAACTGCTTGAAGATGATTACTTGTTTGAGCATGATTACCTGTTTGATCATCATCACTTGTCTAAGCCTGAGCTTGGTCACTTCTCTGAGCTTAGTCTCATCTGATGGTCACTTTTCTGAACATAGTTATATATCTGAACTTAATCGCCTAACTGAGCTTTGTCGCTCTTTTGAACTTGATCATTTGTCTTTGCTTTATCTATTTTTTGAGCTTACTTGTGTGCTTGAAGTTATGGCAGCTTAAATGAACGTGATCACTTGTATGAACTTGGTCACTCGTCTGTACTTAGATAATTTTGAGCTGGATCACTTGTCTGAGCTGGATCACTTGTCTGAGCTGGATCACTTGTCCGAGCTGGATCAATTGTCCGAGCTGGATCAATTGTCCGAGCTGGATCAATTGTTTGAGCTGGATCACTTGTCTGAGCTGGATCACTTGTCCGAGCTGGATCACTGCTGAACTTGGGTACTGTCCTGTGTTAGGCCACGTGTCAGCACTCGGCTGTTCTTATTAGTTTGATCTCGTGTCTCAACTTGGTCAGTTGGTATATAATAATATAATTGTTGCCAGGAATGAAATAATATAAACAATAAATAAATGTGGTGGTCCGTGGCCTGATCACTAAACCTCTCGCTTCACACAGCGAGGGTCTGCGTTCGATTCCCAGCGAGGGTAGAAACATTAGGCGTGTTTCTTTACACCGGTTGTCTATGTTCACCCATCAGTAAAATGGGTACCTGGAAATGCTCTGCATAACAAGCGGCTTTCTATATAGTAGTATGTCATTGATGTCAGCTAGGCCAGTATACCTTGTACATGTACTTGTAGTAAATAAGGTATTATTATTATTATTATTATTATTATTTTTATTATTTATTATCACACTGGCCGATTCCCACCAAGGCAGGGTGGCCCGAAAAAGAAAAACTTTCACCATCATTCACTCCATCACTGTCTTGCCAGAAGGGTGCTTTACACTACAGTTTTTAAACTGCAACATTAACACCCCTCCTTCAGAGTGCAGGCACTGTACTTCCCATCTCCAGGACTCAAGTCCGGCCTGCCGGTTACCCTGAACCCCTTCATAAATGTTACTTTGCTCACACTCCAACAGCACGTCAAGTATTAAAAACCATTTGTCTCCATTCACTCCTACCAAACACGCTCACGCATGCCTGCTGGAAGTCCAAGCCCCTCGCACACAAAACCTCCTTTACCCCCTCCCTCCAACCTTTCCTAGACCGACCCCTACCCCGCCTTCCTTCCACTACAGACTGATACACTCTTGAAGTCATTCTGTTTCGCTCCATTCTCTCTACATGTCTGAACCACCTCAACAACCCTTCCTCAGCCCTCTGGACAACAGTTTTGGTAATCCCGCACCTCCTCCTAACTTCCAAACTACGAATTCTCTGCATTATATTCACACCACACATTGCTCTCAGACATGACATCTCCACTGCCTCCAGCCTTCTCCGCGCTGCAACATTCATCACCCATGCTTCACACCCATATAAGAGCGTTGGTAAAACTATACTCTCATACATTATTATTATTATTGTTATTATTATTATTATTATTATTATTATTATTATTATTATTATTATTATTATTATTATTATTATTATTATTATATGCTTGTTCCAGTAGGCTCAGAGACTCTTGGCCCATGGGGAAAGCGAGCATCTAAGATTCATCAGGGTGGGTAGTTATCAAATGCAGCAACTCAGCGCTGCAGTTCAGAGGGGTAATGCCCGTTGTATCTTGGGCACGCGCCCCAGCTCTGAGATGGATGAGATTTTCTCATTGTAATCTGCGACTAACACCTAGCAATATGTACCTATAAATAAAGAATATATAAATAATGAATGATAGCTGCCATCAATTGTAGTGAATGAATAATTAGTGAAATTTAATGAGTGAAAAATATTATGTATCTATAAATATAATAGATAAGCAGTAGAATAAACAAGGACATGTAATTAATAGTGAATACAATAATCACAATAAGGGAAATGGAAATCTATAGAAAAAATGTGTTCAATTATAACCCCCCAAAATTTTATACTTTATAATACAGGATAAAAAAGTAAACAGGATATGATATAGGGCGTAATGACAGTAATTTGTTGGACTACGTATTGGTAGATAAAAGACTGTTGAGTAAACTTCAGGATGTACAAGTTTATATATATATATATATATATATATATATATATATATTATATATATATATATATATATATATATATATATATATATATATATATATAGTCCACCTCTGGTGTAAATTGTGGGACCCATAGCCTCGGTGAAGTGGATAAAAAGGCTTCAAGGAAGAATATTTGGATTTCTTCCTGAAGCTGTTTGAATATTCCACTTCCCCTACCACCCCATCTTCTCATATTTTTTTTACCAATAGGAATATTTTATTGCATAATATGGTACAAAAGATTTAAGAGATACATTGTTGATATAAAGGTGGCATATACGGTACATGTTGTTACGTGTGTATCACCTATTATAAGGCGAAAATCTCATCCAGCTCCTCATAGCTGGGGTGTGTGCCTAAAATACAGCAGGCATTACCCCTTTGAACTGCCGCACTGAGCCGCTGGAACAGAAAACTAGCTGCCCTGGGATCCCTAGTTACCCTGATGAGTCATTTTCCCAGCTCCTTAAGGAATTTAGATGCACTCTTTCCCCATGAGCCAAGGGTCTCTGAGCCTATGGGAACAAACATATAATGATGGGCAAGTTCTCCATATTTTCTAGGCTTTTGGGACTCCCTGAAGCTGGCAGCTGCCCCTCCTTCCTCCCTGGTGTATTGGAGATAGGTATCAGCCAAGGTAGATGCACATGTATAGTCCCACACCACCTGCTTCCCATCTGTCCAGGCTTGAAGGGTGATACCATCTGGACGCTTCTGGCTGCCATAAGATCTGCATAGCTGGGGTGGCTCCCTTACCGCTGGGCATCCGGCTGTTGTGAGGCTCCTCTTGGTAATGTTATTAACCTCCTCATGTCTTGCAATCCTTACCTCGGATTTACGGCACACAAGACCTTGATACCCGAATCGGTCTGCTGCTTCACTGCCACAAATACACCTGTGTTCGGCGAGAATAGGGGCGGCAAGTCGAAGGGCAGCACCAATGCGGATGGTCTGTGGGTCGAGGCGTGTGCCAAGGCTAGAGTTGGGAACAGCCAACAGAAAATCCCCTGCATGAGGGGCTCTCACTGCCAGGAGCCGGGCTCTATCCTTCCCTGACACACTCTGAAGCATTATTGAGGCTATATTTTCCACTATTGGACCATCCCAGTGCGATTGTTTGTAGTTGTTGGGGGAAGCAGGTCTGGTTTCAGAGCCCGTTAGATTATCCCAGATCATGGCCGGGCGTCTCCCACCTAGGCAGGGTGACCCAAAAAGAAAGAAAATCCCCAAAAAGAAAATACTTTCATCATTCAACACTTTCACCTCACTCATACATAATAACTGTTTTTGCAGAGGTGCTTAGAACACAACAGTTTAGAAGCATATATGTATAAAGATATACAACACATCCCTCCAAACTGCCAATATCCCAAACCCCTCCTTTAAAGTGCAGGCATTGTACTTCCCATTTCCAGGACTTAAGTCCGGCTATATAAAAATAACCGGTTTCCCTGAATCTCTTCACTAAATATTACCCTGCTCACACTCCAACAGCTCGTCAGGTACAAAATACCATTCGTCTCTATTCACTCCTATCTAACACGCTCACGCACGCTTGCTGCAAGTCCAAGCCCCTCACCCACAAAACCTCCTTAACCCCCTCCCTCCAACCTTTTCGAGGACGACCCCTACCCCGCCTTCCTTCCCCTACAGATTTATACGCTCTCCATGTCATTCTACTTTGATCCATTCTCTCTAAATGACCAAACCACATCAACAACCCTTTTCAGCCCTCTGACTAATACTTTTATTAACTCCACACCTTCTAATTTCCACACTCCGAATTTTCTGCATAATATTTACATTACACATTGCCCTTAGACAGGACATCTCCACTGCCTCCAACCGCTTCCTCGCTGCAACATTTATAACCCAAGCTTCACACCCATATAAGAGTGTTGGTATTACTAAACTTTCATGCATTCCATTCTTTGCTTCCATAGATTACGTTTTTTTTTCTCCACATATACCTCAACGCATCACTCACCTTTTTTCCTTCATCAATTCTATGATTAACCTCATTCTTCATAAATCCATCCGCTGACACGTCAACTCCCAAGTATCTGAAAACATTCACTTCTTCCATACTCCTCCTCCCCAGTTTGATATCCAATTTTTCTTTATCTAAATCATTTGATACCCTCATCACCTTACTCTTTTCTATGTTCACTTTCAACTTTCTACCTTTACACACACTCCCAAACTCATCCACTAACCTTTGCAATTTTTCTTTATAACCTCCCATAAGCACAGTATCATCAGCATAAAGTAACTGTGTCAATTCACATTTTGTATTTAATTCCCCATAATTTAATCCCACCCCTCTCCCGAACACCCTAGCATTTACTTCTTTTACAACCCCATCTATAAATATATTAAACAACCATGGTGACATTACACATCCCTGTCTAAGACCTACTTTTACCGGGAAGTAGTCTCCCTCTCTTCTACACACCCTAACCTGAGCCTCACTATCCTCATAAAAACTCTTCACAGCATTTAGTAACTTACCACTTATTCCATATACTTGCAACATCTGTGTGTGTGTATGCGTGTGTGTGTGTGTGTGTGTGTGTGTGTGTGTGTGTGTGTGTGTGTACGTGTGCGTCTGTACGTACGTACAAACTAATATACATATATTATTTTAACTAGGTATGGGCATGTATCATTGGCATGAGTTTGGTGGCAGGCGTGCTTCTTGGAATGATAGAAATCGTGGAGAATGTGTTGACCAACTCACTTGACCGATCATACCGGGATCATCCTGCCTTTTACACCTATATTGTGGAACAAGTTACCAATGTTATGAAGATATATGTCTTCCAAGGTAAGGTTATAGTGCTTGTTTTGCTTGATTTTCTTGCAACTTTTTAAATGCATGTTTTCACACAAGCACACACACACACACACACACACACACACACACACACACACACACACACACACACACACACACACACACACACACACACACACACACACACACACACATACACACATACACACACATACACACATACACACATACACACATACACACACACACACACACACACACAACACACACACACACACACACACACACACACACACACACACACACACATACATACACAGATAAGAAGGGAGGCCCAAAGACAATATGAAAATGACATAACAGCGAAAGCCAAATCTGACCCGAAACTGTTGTACAGCCACATCAGGAGGAAAACAACAGTCAAGGACCAGGTAATCAGGCTAAGGAAGGAAGGAGGAGAGACAACAAGAAATGACCGTGAAGTATGTGAGGAACTCAACAAGAGATTCAAAGAAGTGTTCACAGAGGAGACAGAAGGGGCTCCAGAAAGACGGAGAGGTGGGGCACACCACCATGTGCTGGACACAGTGCACACAACCGAGGAAGAAGTGAAGAGGCTTCTGAGTGAGCTAGATACCTCAAAGGCAATGGGGCCAGATAACATCTCCCCATGGGTCCTGAGAGAGGGAGCAGAGGCACTATGTGTACCCCTAACAACAATATTCAATACATCTATCGAAACAGGGAGATTGCCTGAGGCATGGAAGACAGCAAATGTAGTCCCAATCTTTAGAAAAGGAGACAGACATGAAGCATTAAACTACAGACTAGTGTCACTGACATGTATAGTATGCAAAATCATGGAGAAGATTATCAGGAGAAGAGTGGTGGAACACCTAGAAAGGAATGATCTCATCAACAGCAGCCAACATGGTTTCAGGGACGGGAAATCCTGTCACAAACCTACTGGAGTTCTATGACATGGTGACAGCAGTAAGACAAGAGAGAGGGGTGGGTGGATTGCATATTCTTGGACTGCAAGAAGGCGTTTGACACAGTTCCACACAAGAGATTGGTGCAAAAACTGGAGGACCAAGCAGGGATAACAGGGAAGGCACTACAATGGATCAGGGAATACTTGTCAGGAAGACAGCAGCGAGTCATTGTACGTGGCGAGGTGTCAGAGTGGGCACCTGTGACCAGCGGGGTCCCACAGGGGTCAGTCCTAGGACCAGTGCTGTTTCTGGTATTTGTGAACGACATGACGAAAGGAACAGACTCTGAGGTGTCCCTGTTTGCAGATGACGTGAAGTTGATGAGAAGAATTCACTCGATCGAAGACAAGGCAGAACTACAAAGGGATCTGGACAGGCTGCAGACCTGGTCCAGCAATTGGCTCCTGGAGTTCAATCCCACCAAGTGCAAAGTCATGAAGATTGGGGAAGGGCAAAGAAGACCGCAGACGGAGTACAGTCTAGGGGGCCAGAGGCTACAAACCTCACTCAAGGAAAAAGATCCTGGGGTGAGTATAACACCAGGCACATCTCCTGAAGCGCACATCAACCAAATAACTGCTGCAGCATATGGGCGCCTAGCAAACCTCAGAACAGAATTCCGACATCTTAATAAGGAATCGTTCAGGACCCTGTACACCGTGTACCTTAGGCCCATATTGGAGTATGCGGCACCAGTTTGGAACCCACACCTAGCCAAGCACGTAAAGAAACTAGAGAAAGTGCAAAGGTTTGCAACAAGACTAGTCCCAGAGCTAAGAGGTATGTCCTACGAGGAGAGGTTAAGGGAAATCAACCTGAGGACACTGGAGGACAGGAGAGATAGGGGGGACATGACAACGACATACAAAATACTGAGAGGAATTGACAAGGTGGACAAAGACAGGATGTTCCAGAGATTGGACACAGTAACAAGGGGACACAGTTGGAAGCTGAAGACACAGATGAATCACAGGGATGTTAGGAAGTATTTCTTCAGCCACAGAGTAGTCAGTAAGTGGAATAGTTTGGGAAGCGATGTAGTGGAGGCAGGATCCATACATAGCTTTAAGCAGAGGTATGATAAAGCTCACGGTTCAGGGAGAGTGACCTAGTAGCGATCAGTGAAGAGGCGGGGCCAGGAGCTCGGACTCGACCCCCGCAACCTCAACTAGGTGAGTACAACAACTAGATGAGTACACACATACATACACACACACACACACATACATACACACGCACACATACATACACACGCCAGGAACTGTGTCTCGACCCCTGCAATCACAATTACGTGAGTACACACACAAGCACACACACACACACACACACACACACACACACACACACACACACACACTCACACTCACACACACACACACACACACACACACACACACACACACACACACACACAGTCAAAGAGATGTTAGGAAGCATTTCTTCAGCCACAGAGTTGTTAGGAAGTGGAATAGTCTGGCAAGTGATGTAGTGGAGACAGGAATCATTCACAGTTTTAAGACGAGGTATGATAAAGCTCATGGAGCAGGGAGAGGGAGGACCCAGTAACGGATAGTGAAGAGGCGGGGGCGGGAGCTGAGTCTCGACCCCTGAAACCACAATTAGGTGAATACAATTAGGTGAGTACACACAGGTTGTAAATACAGTGATCAGTGACAGACAATCCATCTCAGAATGGCAGGACTCCAAGAGATGAATATGAAGAGAGCAACAGCGCAATGTTGGAAACAATAGCTGAGGTGGTCAGAAGAGCTCACATGGGTAGGTCATAGTTACTAGTTATGAGTATTTCAGTCAAAAGGAGATTGGCTGGAAAAACCTGGGGCTGCATGGGGGACCCGAAACATGGAGAGCAAAGATAATGGATGTGGTACTAGAAAACCTCATGCACCAACGTGCTATGGACATTACCAGTGAGAGAGATGATGAACCAGCAAAATTGGATCTTGTATTCACCTTGAGTATTTCAGACATCGAGGACATCACATACGAAAGGCCCGTTGGAGCTAGTGATCACGTGGTTCTGAGCTTCGAATACACAGTAGAGTTACAAGTGGAGAGCGAAGCAGGAGTAGGATGAGCGAAGCCAAATTACGAAAAGGGGAACTACATAGGCACGAGGGATTTCCTCCAAGAGGTTCAGTGAGACTGAGAATTGGTTTGAAAATCAGCAAACAATGTGATGGACAACGAGACAACAAAATGAAAAGGAGGCAGAGGAGAGGTTCGTTCCCAAGGGTAACAGAAATAGTGGGAAGACCAGTACGAGCCTTTGGCTCACCCATAGGTGTAGAGAGGCAAAAATTAAGTGTGCTAGAGAAAGGAAATAGTACAGAATACAAAGGACCCAGGAAAATAAAGAGATTAGTCGAAGAGTCAGAAAGGAGAGAGGCCCAACGACAACACGTAAACGACATGGGATCGATAGGAACTACTGACCAGAAGCTGTTGTATAGCTACACCAGGAGGAAAACAATAGACAAGGACCAGGTAATCAGGCTAAGGAAGGCAGGTGGGGAGTTCACAAGAAATGACCGAGAAGTATGTGCAGAGTTCAACATGAGATTTAATGAAGTATTAACTGTGGAGACAGGAAGGACTCCGGACAGCCGGAATAGTGGGGTACATGAATGCATCAACAAATGCTGGACGAAATACACACAACTGAGGAGAAGACACTGCTAAGTGAACTAGATACCTCAAAGGCGATGAAACAGGACAACATCTCTCCATGAGTCCTTAGAGAGGGAGGAGGGGAGCTTTGTATGCCACTAGCAACAATCTTCAACACACCTATTGAAACTGGGCAACTCCCTCTGGTGTGGAAGACGGCAAATGTAGTTCCAGTTTTTAAGAAAGATTTAGTTAGAAATATTTAGACTTAGTTCTAAAAGAACGTTCTAATTTGGTAATAAAGAGAGATGCACGAAACAAACTGTCAGGTTGTCACTGAAGCTAATACCTTGTGTTGCTGCAAAAATGCATTAAGTTAATGTATAAGTTAGAATGGTGGTTTGGTTCAGACATATATGTATGTGTTATTAGGCTTACCGCAGTGTTCTTCTATTTTTTATAATTTTTGTTTACACTATGGAGGAGGGTACCAGGCGTAAACACAGGTATACCTTTACCTCAGTGGATGGATGAGGCGTAAACACAGGTATACCTTTACCTCAGTGGATGGATGAGGCGTAAACACAGGTATACCTTTACCTCAGTGGATGGATGAGGCGTAAACACAGGTATACCTTTACCTCAGTGGATGGATGAGGCGTAAACACAGGTATACCTTTACCTCAGCGGATGGATGGATAATTTTACGAGTGGATGGACGAACGATTTAACGAAATTGGGAAAAAATCATTTAATGAAGAAAGGAATAATAGGAAAAATAAGTAGGAAAATGTAACTTTAAAAAATAAATAGAAGCACTAAATGATTTTATGCAAAAGATGCAGACGACTTTTTATAAATAAACTAGAATAAATAAATAGAAATGACTTAATAGGATTTATAAGAAAATAAGATGAAGAAAAGAAAAATAATGGCTTGGAAGAGTATAAAAATAATTTGGAGGGCTTTGCAGGAATAACAAAGTATAAGCCAGAGGGGGAACAGAGGTGGTGCTTGCAAAGAACAAGAAGAGCACCCCATACAACCTCTTGTTATTGACCCTTTGGTAATTACCTATTTTAATTACCTAATTGTGAAGACAACCACGGTGTGATGGCGTCTAAATGTGAGAATTTCCATTTCATTATTGTTAACGCTTCATTGTTTATAAGGATTATATTTAAACATTCTTAGCAAATATGTTGATATTACGATTAGTTATTTAATAAATAAAGTTATTACATTGTGCGCATGATTCATTTCTGCTGATTATTACCACTTCGCAGGCAGTCGCAGGTGGGCTGAAAGCTGGTGTGGGCGTGTGGGCGCGGCTACGACTATCCTGGCAACGGTGGTGGTCGGCTACCTTTACAGCGGCGCCATCACGTCCTTTCTTGCTATTCCCTTCAGGTGAGTTTTGGGAGGATGGAGTGGTAATAGTTCCCAAGAGCTGTGAAAGATATTTAGCTAATAAGCCAAGTTTTTGATGTAGACCACTGACAGTGATAGCTGTGTTTGGAACCCCTGGTTCATGTGTTTGGGGCAGACCATTGATACGTCCTGGTCTGGGTGTGAAAGAAATTATGTTAAATGATGATAATAATAATAATAATAATAATAAAATAATAATAATTAATAATGATGATGATGATGATGATAATAATAATAATAATAATAATAATAATAATAATAATAATGATGATGATAATCATAATAATAATAATAATAATAATAATAATAATAATAATAATAATATCTTTATTTACTACAATAACATGTACAAGGTCTACAGACCATAGCTGACATCAATGACATATGTTATGTGCCTTAGGTTTATATAAAGCTTATTTGATTAATTTTTAAAAGCTGAACAGTCTTGGAGAAAAGCATGGATTAATTCTGTTCTCTTCAGTTTGCTTCTTTTTGGGGAAACAATGAGAGAAAATGCTATATCAAGTAATCTGTTGAGATTATTTGATATAGCAACATCTGAGCAGCTTCAAGCTTAATATGCTTGTGTTTTGAAGAATATTAATCTCATTGGTATCTGAAAGATATGAATTAGATTTAGTTTGTCTATGGCCTAATTTACCACTGCAGAAATTTTGATTACTTGTGATTCATCTGCTGAAGGCCTTCATATCTCCAGTGCTAATATTTAACTACATTATCAACTCATGTCTCACTCTGTAATAGTATTCCTATCACACGAATTGAGACACTGGGTTCTGAAGTACAGGAATACCTTTCTCGTGTTGCACAGCAACCGAAATAAACTTTGTTAGATATCCCTTAAGGAATACCTTCAAGAGGTTGCCCGATTTTTTTTTCTTTGTTTTTCCCCCTTCCCTCCAATCGTCTTCAAATTTTTAACATTTGTATGCGGAAACGAGGACCAAATTTGGAACAAGTGGCGTCTTCTCGTATCCTATGACCAAAATTATTGAAGAATTTTCCATATTCTTGGAATCACTCGGATAACTTCCAAAATTCTAATTGGCAGAGTTTCAGACGTTCAAGGAAGACGCCAAAAATTTCGAAGACGGAGGAGAGTAAAATTCAGTATTGGAGGTGCAGATTTAATCATTTATATGTAAAATAGTGTGAATTGTTTATTCCCGTTAAATCATATTACATGATATTCATCTTATTGCAGAATACCGTCAATATTTTGATGGTGCATCTTAGGGCCTGGATAGTACTTATTAAGTTTCGTTGGAATGCAGGGAAAATTGGTAACGCAGTAAAATAGTAAAAATAACTTGGAGTCATTGAAATCCTTGCCAAACCTGGAGAATGACTCATCTGATCGGCTTCAAACTTTCACCACTGGTGTGGTTTGCTGAATACAAGGTTCACGCTGCCACTTTTGCCATTTTTATGAAATAAACACAGCGATAGTTATTTTTTATTGAATTACTAAAAGTCCTGCTTCTGATTGGCTTCAAAACATAAGTTTAGTACGAGTTGGTACTAATTTGAAATTTTTCTAAATAATAAAAAAACTTGAAATCGTTGGAATCAAATCAATTACTTAAGAATGTCTTGTTTGATCTCCTTCAAACTTATTCTGACACACTTGGGTGTCTTTATTAAAGCAAAGCTTGTGACTCACTCTACAAACTTTATTAGGAGTATCACTTCTTAGGTAATAACTAGACAATGAAGAATTAAGACACATGTGTAACATCTGGGAATCATTATTTGTAGAAGCTTCGCCATCCAGTGGCTTTATCAACACATTACAAGGACATGATGTAAAGACTACAACTTTATACAATGGACAAAGTAATCAGTCCCTCAGTCTTGGAGCTGGTGATGAGCACCATAGTCTTGGTGATGAGCACCGTAGTCTTGGTGATGAGCACCATAGTCTTGGTGATGAGCACCATAGTCTTGAAGAATCTGAAGCACAGGCATGAAGATTGGCGCTTTTATACTGGCATCAGATACGGGACGTCCAGCAGACGACAGCATTGTCGCTGGAAGACGGGATTTCCCAGTGGAAGTAGGTCATACCCGAAGGATGAACCAGGAGGAACCAAGAAGGTTGTAGAGATGCTCTCTGAACCGAGATTATATAATGTATGACAAGTTGTACATAAATGGTATACAATACCGACCAGATGAAGAATTAGACACATGTGCAACAATCTTCCTGCTTCATATTCTTCACGACTACGATACTCATCACCAAGACTACGATACTCATCACCAGGACTACGATACTCATTACCAAGACTATGATACGCATCACCAAGACTATGATACTCATCACCAAGACTACGATACTCATCACCAAGACTACGATACTCATTACCAAGACTACGATACTCATCACCAAGACTATGATACTCATCACCAAGACTACGATACTCATTACCAAGACTACGATACTCATCACTAAGACTACGATACTCATTACCAAGACTACGATACTCATCACTAAGACTACGATACTCATCACCAAGACTATGATACTCATCACCAAGACTACGATACTCATTACCAAGACTACGATACTCATCACTAAGACTACGATACTCATTACCAAGACTACGATACTCATCACCAAGACTACGATACTCATCACCAAGACTACGATACTCATTACCAAGACTATGATACTCATCACCAAGACTACGATACTCATCACCAAGACTACGATACTCATTACCAAGACTACGATACTCATCACTAAGACTACGATACTCATCGCCAAGACTACGATACTCATCATCACATAATGTCATTGATTTGAATTGATGAAACCAATGCATAGCGAAACGTCTACGAATAAAGTTACCCAGATAAGAACATGAGAACATAAAAAAGGAGCACTCCAACAGGCCTACTGGCCCGTGCTAGGCAGGTCCAAGTCACACCCGCATGTGTCTAATATTGGTATTGTATATCATTCATGTACAGCTAGAGAATGCCTCTTCCGATTAGCTTCAAACCGTAAATGCTGGTGCATCTTAACAGGAAGTATTTTTTTTATATAATTTTTGGGTTGTGTGGGTGCTAATTATATCACTTATTTTTAAAATTTTCAAAAACAAATATGTTTTCTTTCACCATTATGTAGAACTTTGAATAAAATGTAAATAAGAAAAGTAAACTGTAAAAAAAAAAAAAATCCCAGGTTTTATGGTGTTTTCAAGTTAACTGTGGAGACTCCTATTTTTCAGAACATTCTTGGCAACATTTCCTGTGCATTCTCATACATTTTCGTTTATTGCTCGAGAACACCTTATTTGATCGGTTTCAAACTTTTAACGCTCGTATAATGTATCTTGGGTAAGATTCACGGTATTCTTTGCTTACTTTGGTGTCCTATAAATAATGGTACACAGGCAAATTCCACATTTTCACGTGGCTTCAAAATTTCAAATTATGTTATTTACACTAAGTTTGTATAAAACTTACTACTGTATTTACTCTCTTAAATGGCTGTCAGTCTTACTTAAGACTGACAGCCTTTTAAGAAAAACTGATTTCTCATTTTTTTATGCGATAATTTCTGAGTGTCGAATCTAATTAGCGTCAGATCTTCCAAGCTGATAATTTATCTTTTGAGCGGCTTCAAGCTTAATTGCGAATTATAGAATATTAGTATTGTTGGTCTCTTTGCAAAGTTTGAATTATATTTTGGCTGTGTAATATCCTAATTTACCATTTTTATAGCTAAAATTTGGATATTAGTCCCCCTACGATGATTTGTGAAAGCCTCTTCTGATTTCCTTCATATATGCAAAGCAAATATTTAACTGCATTTGCAACTTATGCCACACACTGCACAATTCTGAACGCGTACATGTAGGCACTGGGACCGGGGTTATGGAATAAGGGGATATCTTTTTGGGATCGATCAGCAACTGAAATACATCTACATATTAATGTAGGTATTTCTAAGGTGGGTCTTTAAGTGGTTGCCTGAATTTTTTCTTCCTCCATTTTTTATTTTTTTATCGCTTATAATTCGAGATACCCCTCATCCAATAGCATTCAAATTTTGATTTTTTTTTGTGTACGGTAACTAGGACCAAATTCTAAGAATTATTGGATTATGCAGGTGCCTGTTACCAAAATTATTGAACCCATTTCTAGTATCCAAGAATGGTTCGCATAACTTTTAAATCCGTCAATGGCATAGGTCCAAATGCTCAAAAAAGATGCATCCTAACTCGATTATGGCAGAGAGTGAAATTAAAGTGTGTAGATGGAATTTTTTCCATTTTATGAGCATAACTGAAATTTTGACTTCCATTTAATGATCACGAAAATATGTATGCTTCTGCCTCTTCTGAATAGTTTCATTATTTAATGACTAATACATTTTGTGGTTGGCATAGTTCCCAGTGGAATCTTTTGAATTTTTATCAGATTAGACTCCCTTAAACAAAAAAAGAAAATTACTGGATGAAGAATGGGAAGAAAATTAAATTCACTTCAGGAGGAAACTAAAGTTATGTGCAATATAGTAAGGGAGGAGGTTGTGGAGCATGTAAAATCCCTGTACTGTTGTACACTCCAGCAGTAACCCTGCTTACTTCAAGGCAGAGGTAAACCCAGACATTATAGCAATCACAAAGACGAAACTACCTGAAATGATAACTGATGCCATATTCGGAGCAGGATACCAGATAATACGGAAAGGCAGGAAACAGGAGAGAGGGAGTTTCTGCTTGTTATAAATTTGTAAAGTTCTGAAGAAATGAGGAGGATAAATAAAAATGAGCCAGTTGATTACTTAATTGGGTACAATCAAGGCTGGGGGACCCAGAGAGGTCGTATCAGTGATTTACAACATGGGGGGGTTTCAGCCACAGAGAAACTTTGATTTAGAACCTGTCAATGGACACAGGAAAACAACCAGAGATTCGGAAAACCACAAATACAGTTCCAAT